TGCTGTCAGAGAGTGAAAGTGCGCTTTCATCCAGAGCGTCTCTCACATGTTCCGCCATGTGCTTCTCGTCCGTGCTTGTTTACATCAGAGTGCACACGCTCTTTCATGCAGCATACAGCGGTGTTGTGCAGCTAGAGCAGTGCTGATTGGGGAGAACGGAGGTGCGCTCACTCTTGCCCAGGGCAAGTAAGACTGCAACTCAAGGCTGGCAGTCATGCATATGCTCTGGAACAGAGTAATATCGCATCCACATTGCAGGCTTTGCGATTAGCAAATCGCAACGTCTCAAATCACGATTTCGATTCGATTTTGATTAATCGCACAGCCCTAATAATATATATATATATATATATATGTATGTGTGTGTGTGTGTGACCCTGGACCACAAAACCTGTCATAAGTCGCACAGGTATATTTTTAGCAATAGCCAAAAAAACATTGTATGTGTAAAAATTATCGATTTTTCTTTTATGCTAAAAATCATTAGGATATTAAGTAAAGATCATGTTCCATTAAGATATTTTGTAAATTTCCTACCGTAAATATATCAAAACTTAATTTTTGATTAGTAATATGCATTGCTAAGAACTTAATTTGAACAACTTTAAAGGTGATTTTTTTGCACCCTCAGATTCCAGATTTATAAACAGTTGTATCTCGGCCAAATATTGTCCTATCCTAAACCATACATCAATGGAAAGCTTATTTATTCAGCTTTCAGATGATGTATAAATCTCAATTTAAAAAAATTGACCCTTATGACTGGTTTTGTTGTCCAGGGTCACATATATATTTACAATGTTAATAACTGTGGAAATACATTACCACAGTCTGTCAAAAGGGTCCAGCCAACAAAAAACAAAATATCCTCACCTTGTAGCCACCTGACTTGTGTTGCAGGGCCGTAGCCCTTCTCGTTGCGTGCGGCGATGCGGAAGATGATGGCGGGTTTGGTGGTGTAGTCGATGTGGGCGTTGGAGAGACTAGATGACTGCACTAGGCAGGACGGGTTGGGCCCACAGTACACCCGCATAAAGGCAAGCTGAGCTGGAGAAGACGCTTTAGCCTCGACTGTTTGTGAGCTCTGGATGGCCAGATACACCGAATACTCAATGATCTTCCCCGACGTCACTGAAGGAGGCTCCCAGGTCAGGTGAGCACCATCGGGGCTCTAATGGGGGAGGAAAAACTATTTTAGTCACCAAGATTAACCCACATGCAGACCAAACGCAAGTCATTTGCAGTGAGCAACCTTGCTGATTTTGATGGCACACGGGGCTCCAGGGAAGCCAGGCAAGCAGGTCTTAAACGCAGAGACCTCGGAGAACGTCCCGCGGCCGCACGCGTTGATACCGGCCACGCGAAACTTGTATGCAGTGCCGGGAGAAAGCTCGATCTTTTTCATTTGGCTGTAGTCTGGGATTGCGCCAGAATCATCCTGCAACGTCACAGTAAAAAAGATGATTAGTGGATTAGGTCAACTAATATGGATTCTCTCTCTCTCTTCTTTTTAAATGCAGATGCGGACATAGAATCTTTTTCTCAAGAAAGACCAGATAATACTAATTTTATATACAGTACACAGTGATTATGACACGAGTAACAGTTCATTAGATATTGATATAAAGCTGTATTTGTCAAATGCTGACATTCTATGAAAATATTGTAGTTTGTTTTTCTATTATAAAATAGAACTGTTAAACAGAGAACATAAACTAATGAAGCTCTCAGAACTGTCAAAATGAAATCCTGCTTCCAAATCATATCAGCCAAAGTGCCAAACTTACTGGCCTTGGCAAAATATATTTAGCTACCACTAAAGTCGATTTCAATTAGTCCTAAATAACACTTCCTTTACCAAAAGACGTTTTAGTTGAATTGCAGCAAACAGCAACTTAATCATTACTTACATCAGTAACTGCTGAATCATCTGCTGGCACATAATAGTGCGTGACAACCATGTTTGTGACCTTAACGATTCCAGCGTCAAACCACTGATTCTCTTTCTTCACTGGTGGCTTTACAACGGTTGGAGGAGCTTCTTGCTTCTACGATAAATAGAGATGGTTGAAAAATAGTCTCAAAGTTAATGTCTGAAATGGATATCGATGCATTCGTTCAAATCATGTGCCACCAGTAAACTTACCCCAGCTGCTGATTCAATCCCATTGGCCACCTCAGCTAAAGCAGTGGCCGCTTGCATCTTGGCTGGACTGGCGACCACCATCGGCTGAGATGGTGCAAAAGTAATTGATGGGGCTAGAGCTGCAGCAAAAGAAAGGCATTTTTAGCATGCACTAAAAACCAGCAGATTTGATCATAAAACTAAATTATTAGAAAAAAACACCTTAACTAATTTGGTAACACTTTACAACAAGGTTCCGTTTGTTAGTTAACTACATCATTTAAAGAAATAATTCACCCCAAAAATGTAAAGTTGCTAAAAATATACTCACCCTCATGCAAGCAGAGAACAAAAGGTGTTTGTTTCTTCATCAGAACAGATTTGGAGAAATTTAGCACCAATGGATCCTCTGCAGTGAATGGGTGCCGTCAGAGTGAGAGACTTTAAACAGCTGATAAAATGCATCTTTTCACTTCACAAGACATTAACTGATGGACTGGAGTCGTGTGGATTATTGTGATGTTTTTATCAGCTGTTTGGACTCATTCTGACGGCACCCATTCACTGCAGAGATCCATTGCTGAGCAAGTGATGCAATGCCACATTTCTCCAAATCTGTTATGATTAAGAAACAAACTCATCTACAGCTTGAATGGCCTAAGTGAGTACATTTTCAACAAATTTTCATTTTTTTGTGTGTGAAATGGGACGGTATTGTAAAGTGTCACCAAGCATTTTTGTTTGCAGACTTTGCACCATTAAAAATTATAATTTAAAAACAAAAACAAACATCTCATACTCGCTGCAGAAGTACGTGGAAGGAGACGGGCCACAGCTACCGCAACAGCACTTGTCATCTCGTGGCCGTTGCTCTCAGATGCTGGGTCGTTGAGACTGTCTGCTGGTGCCAAGCCTTCGGTGGGCAGTGCAGCTGCGGCTGCTTCAGCAGCTAACTGCTGGGCTGCGGCCGCTTGCGCCTCCTGGAGCTGCTGCTGCTGCTGAACCAGAGCAGCGAGCTCCTGCGGAGTCAACACTATAGGGATGGTGGTGGACTGCTGCCCGCCGTGACCTGCGTCTCCCTCACCTGAGACAAAGTCAAGCCAAGCTGAGAATTCAAGCCCTACTGTGTACATCATAACACATACGGCAGTCTCTCGTACACTTACTGAGCACAGCCTGCTGAGCCGCCTGTAGGACAGCCTGGATGGCAAGGGCCTGCGCTTCTTCTGTAGCCGCAGCCTGTGCTGCAGCCTCAGCCGCTGCTGTCACAGCCAGCTCCTCTGGAGTCAGTCCGGTCACCATGAGGGTGGTTTGCTGTCCTTCTGCAGACATCAGCTCCTGGGGCAGAGCGAGGGCTTCTGAATCTTGAGCGGCGAGACTCATCGTTTCTGCGCCCTCCACACCGGCCTCCATCTGCTGTATGGAGAGCACAGGGAATTGTTTATTATTTGCACAAGAGAAATTAATGCTTTTATTCAGCAAAAATGCAATAAACTGATTAAAGGTGACAGGAGACTTACAAAGTGACAATTGACAAAGACTTTAAAGTATGAGCTTTGTAAAAATCGACGCGTTTCAGAAAGGCGGGGCATAGAGAAGAAACAATAATGTACAGTATGTGGAAAATAATGTGTTTTTTTCACCTTAAACCGCATAAACACATTTCATTACACCAAATACACAAAATAATGTTCTTTTTAGCAACATCATATGACCCCTTAAAATGTTAAAAGCGCGAAAATACATTGCTATGATGCGCGAGATTGAGAGTGTGCGCGCACTGGGGTGCTTGGATGATTTGTGCAAATAAATAACCTAGTAATCTGTCTATCTAATTGGTTGGTCAAACCCCTCTATAACACAATAATAACTAAACTAATGACTAAATCTTGTCAAAAGTTATCAACCAATCAGACTTCCACGACTGACCGATGAAAATGCTACGTGAAATCTAATTGGCTAAGAGGGAACTGCACCTGTTCCTTTGACAATCAAAGATGGATCTGCAATTTCTTTACAATTTAATAATATTTAGTCATATTAATCAAATGTATATTAGATTTTCGCACCTGGATTAAACGTTGTCAAAAGTTATCAACAAATCAGACTTCCATGACTGACCGATTAAAATGCTACGTGAAATCTAATTAGCTGGAATTCTTTTGACAATCAAAGATGGATCTTTAATTTTGTTACAATTTAATATTTAGTCATATTAATCAGAAGTATATTAGAAATAGGCTGGGATTGGGGTGCTTGGATGATTTGTGCAAATAAATAACCTAGTAATCTGTCTGTCTAACTGGTTGGTCAAACCCCTCTATAACACAATAATAACTAAACTAATGACTAAACCTTGTCAAAAGTTATCAACCAATCAGACTTCCACGACTGACCGATGAAAATGCTATGAAATCTAATTGGCTAAGAGGGAACTGCACCTGTTCCTTTGACAATCAAAGATGGATCTGCAATTTCTTTACAATTTAATAATATTTAGTCATATTAATCAAATGTATATTATAAATGGCTAGGAATGAGGCATTTGCGACTGAAAACTACTGCGTGCGACTATGAAAATTTTTCATCATCATACTTGTGATTGCGCTGAGGGAGCTTCAAAGGTTTCTACGTGTTTTTGCAGCGTTGAGCAATGTATCACAGACATATCTCATGAATCCTTTCATAAGCAAAGTGTAGACAGGGTGTAAATAAGAGATTAATTGTGCAGTGTAGAGAGCTTCGTTGATTACAAACACTATTGTCTGATTTTGCTCTATTTCGTCGTCGAAAATAGTTTAAAACAAAGACACATCTCCATTCAAACACAGCGTGCATCTCCATTTAAACACAGCGGTGTTTCGTTTATGAATGAACGGGGTTTTTTAAACTAATCTAGTCAGTGAGTGATTCATGATTACCCATTCATAAAGACAGTCACTTGATTCATTCCTGAATGAATCAGC